CCTCAAAGCTTGGAGGAAAGGGATCTTTCCAAATGGTGTTTTGTACCTTCTGGCTTCCCAGTTATCAGAGAATGTCATGGAATGGTTTGGGTTGGAAGAAACCTTAAAAGCCATCCAGTTCCACCCCCTGCCATGGGCAGGGACACCTCCCACTAGCCCAGCTTGCTCCAACCTGGCCTTGGACACTTCCAGGGATGGGGCAGCCACAGCTTCTCTGGGCAACCTGTGCCAGTGTTTTACCACCTTCGTCCTAAAAAACTTATTTAATCTAAATTGACCCTCTTTTAATTTAGTTGAACCTCACGAGTTGTGGTTTAAAAATGGAACTACTTGTATTTTGAAGACTAAAACCAATCTTCAGCAGTTTTCCACATTTCCCACTCGAAGACAGGGTGATTTTGCTCAGACTTCTTCCCTTGGTGCCTTGGAAAGCTGGGAAATGTATTTTTTCTTGGCATATTCAGAAGTTGTAGAGCTAAAAATCGCTGTGCCCACAAGAAGAGAGACCCTAAAACTTCAAGCTACCTAAAACACACATTGAAATAATCCCTGGACAGTTCAGTAAGAACATCAACACAGACATTTTTGAACGAGTAATTCAGTAAAAGGCCTGAAAAATAACCTGGAATGTGTCCAAATGGCAGCAAGTCTTTAGTGTAGCAGTTTAAAATCTGTAATTTTGAAAGGAGGGCTGAGGGAGGAAGAGTTAAGTTCTATCTCCTTTAGGTTAGTTTAAATTCCTAGAAAAGCAACAATAAATGAAAAAGTGTTAAGACAAACCACTTAACACCAGTTTAGTGTAATTTTTTAGCTTCTCTTTTTGCTTTTCCAGGCTAAAATTAAAACTGAGACATTTCAGTTTGGATGGTGAGGCAAATGTTTGCATTAAGCACTAAAAACACTTGTAAATTATGTTTCTCTGCTGTCTAACATCCTGCTAAAAATATTTATATAGTAATAAGTGATATTATGGACATTAAAAAGAGTTGGGCATTGGGATAACACTCCATGAGCTTTCCCAAGGAAAAGCTTTGGTTAGGATTGTTCTGGACTGTTGTTCCTTTGGCCTTTCCTTTCTGTAGGATATTTCGGGTGTTTCCACCAGTGGAACAAGCAAATATTGGGGATTTATTTTATTTTTTAAATCCCCTTTAAGGACTAAATGTAGAAAGAAATAACAAACTCCAGGAGCAAGTTGTTCTGGAGAGAATTAAGATGCTGCCAGTGAAGGAACAGTTCTAACTTAAATTAATGAGAAGAGCTTTGACATTTAATGAATTTGGACAATTAAGGTGATATTTAACTGCTGTAAATTATTTTTTTCAGATTTCCACTTTGGTTTTTTGTCGTGCTTTAAGTATCAGGGGGGAAAAAAGGGGGATGACACAGCTTGGGAAGAAGTAGTGAATGAAAGAATGAAATTCCAGATTTTCTGGAAGTGGAATCATCTCGTGGTAGGAAGGAATATCCCATGTCCAGGAAGGAGAAGCAGCATGATTAGCAGTGCAGCTTTACAGGGGATTTCCACATGTTTCTGGGGAGTTTTCCAATTGATGCTGCAGGACCAGGGACACCTGTTCAGCTCTCATTGAACCCTGGTAAAGGCAGTGCAGATAAACAGTCCTGGAATCGTTTTGATCCTTTTGGAAAGCACCAGGACCCGCTGGAGAAGTCCCTGTGCTGCTGTTGTGTGGGTTGTTTGCCTTTCCATTTGTGCTGCAGCAGCTCTTTAGTCCCAGTGTTGTTGCCTGAAGCCCTCTGAGCAAAATAATTGTGTTTTGTCCACAGCTTGTCATGGAAATGGGACCACGTCACATCCTGTGGGATCCCTGCCTGGAGCCCCTGCTGAGCAGGGCTCATTCCCATTAAATCATGGCATTTTAGTCAATCCAGCTCTAGTGAATAAAAGATGACTTGAAATAATCATAACTATCTCAGAGTTTAATCCTGAGACTAAAGTGTATTCCGGAGCTGGAGTCCTCTCACCACTCGGGTTTTCTGCTCCCTTCCCTCTGTCAAAATGCTGAGAAGAGGTTGGCAAAAAAGCACAAAGTCTGTTCCAAGTTACTCTTCTTGTGAGGAAGAAACATCCATGGGATCCATAAAGTTGTCTGCTGAATTTTGGGTCTGTGTTTGAGTGAGTCAGGCTCCCTGAGCTTGCTGAAGTCAGGTCAGATCTGGCTGATTTCAGAGAAGCAACTGAGACCATCAGGGAAGTAAAAACCAAAAAAAGTGAAAGTAAACCAAAGCAAAGCTCTGTTTTACATAAGCAATGTAAAGAATAGATATATATATATATAACATAAATAAGAATTGATATATAATAAAACTATTACTTTTCCTTGCTGCTCGTGGAGAGCCTTAATTTGCAAGTGTTGAATGGTACAACTGGTGTCTGCACTTCCATGGCATCAGTTTAATCAGGGACAACCTCATTCCTCCCAGAGAAATCAAGTCAAGAGAGAGAGATATTAAACCCTTGTGGGGTGTTTGCCTGCCAGAAGAGGACTTGGAAAACAAAGTAATCCCCTTTAGAAAACAAAATCATGGCAGAAAGCTGCTGGGAGAAAGGGAAGGGATCAAAGTGATGCAAGAGATTGAAAACACCAAAATGAAAAGGAGCACTGAATTTGTCTGGGTGATAATCCCAAAACTGAGGGTTGCATCAGCCAGTGCCTGTCAGGATTTCTGCAATTAATAATAGGTTTGGGGGGACCTGGTTGTCATCAGCACCTTGGAATTATTACAGATAAAAGCCTTAGGGCTGCTTTGAAAGGCATTAATATGTCTTTTGAAAAGCTGTCTATTTTCTCTGACTGATCTTTTCATTTGGGACATGTTTCTTTTCTATCAGGAATTGTTTTTTGTTAGGGTTACAGCAAATAGGTTTTTTTGTTTCCTGCCCCAATATCTGTCCAGCTGGCTTTATTAGAAAACCCCAAGCCATAGACTGGAGGGAAGGTCTGGCGATAGGGAACAGCAAGTGGGAGCTGCAGCTCTGGGAGACTGGAACTGGAGTGAAACTGGGCTGGTTTTCCATGGTCTGAGTTCAGCAGAATTTCATTGGATGTGTGGATTCCTTGGGTGATTGATGGACACGATTCCATGTCCCATCCCTCCATCTGCTGAGCAGGTTTGTAAACAGTTGGAATGCCCAGAAATGTGGCATATTTATGGGTTTTCAGCACAGTGATACTGTGGGTGGGGAGGGACCTTAAAACTCATCCAGTGCCACCCCCTGCCATGGGCAGGGACACCTTCCACTAGCCCAGGTTGTTCCAGCCTGGCCTTGGACACTTCCAGGGATGGGGCAGCCACAGCTTCTCTGGGAAATCCATTCCAGGGCCTCCCCACCCTCCCAGCCAGGAATTCCTTCCCAATATCCCATCTATCCCTGCCCTCTGGCAGTGGGAAGCCATTCCCTGTGTCCTGTCCCTCCATCCCTTGTCCCCAGTCCCTCTCCAGCTCTTTGGGAGCCCCTTCAGCTGCTCAGAGGTCTCTGTGGAGACTCCAGGGGAATATTCTGCACGGACTGATGTTCCTGGTTCTCCACAAATTCAATTTTGTGTTTAAATCCCCTTATCTCAAGCCTGTTAAACGTGATCATTGTGCACCTTCATGGAAGCAAGGAGCAAAAATAGCTTTATTTATCCCTCTTCTGCCTTTTTTTTTTTGCATCTTTAATTTTGGCACAGCTTGTCCTCAGCTGCCAGTGAGCTTTTTTTGGTGTTTGTGGATGTTTGTTCAGCATCTTGAGGCAGTGGAGTCAAATGCAGAAGGGATGGAAACATGAAAATAGCAGCAGGTGGAGGTATCTAATAAAACTCTGAGTCTCAGCACAAATTGCTCTGCCAGAGTTAAAGGAAATGTTATTTTTCCTTTTATCTGGTTTTTTTTTTTAACAGCTGCCTAATGCAATTTGTGCATCTTTTTGGAAAAAATGGCCAAAAAAGAAAAGGAAACATGAGAAATTGTAGTGACGTAGATTTAACCGTGAAAAAAAATTGCTGACTGTGTGACCAGTATGTTCAGATATTTCATGTTCCATGAGGAGATGGAACTTGAAAATGACCCTTAACTGAGGGAAAAGAGCGGTGGAAATCGGGGAAGGTAACTTGGGAAGATGTGGAAACTTGGAATGGGAAGTAAGAGCTCCCAGCAACTGGGCCTGTTAGGGTAAAACCCATCTTTAACACCAAAGTTGGGTCCCTAGAGCAGTTCAGAACAGCTGGAGCTGGACTCTTTGGGGAAAGACTTTTCCCAAATATCCAACCCTAAACCTCCCCTGGCACAACTTGGGGTTGTCCTTTCCCAGTTTTCCAGCCGCTCTGCCCCGAGCCTGGAGCATTCCATGGAATTGTGGTGACCCAACAGTCGGGAATCTTGCTCAGTGTCTGTAAACCCACTGCGGAATTCCAGGAATTTCACGATGTACATCATATTTTCCCACTGAAGGGACCCAATTCCGAGGAGTAAATGGGATTAGGAGCCTGTGCCAGCAGTTTCCCCTCCCTGTGTGGTTACAGGTTAAATTTCGCTGCTTTCTGACCTTGAACACAAAAAGGTTGTTATTGGTTTTCTGAGGCCCCACGGAGTGAAAGGCAGAGACTGAAGGGCACAATTAACATTAATAATTAAAGATGAAGTGCATTTGTCAGCCTCTTGTCTCCTGGAATCCTCTGAGGAACGGGCTGATCCCGTGAGCAACAGCCTGGGATGATCCAAGCTGGGAATTTGAGCTGGGGCTCATCAAAGATAAGGAGATTTCATCACTTCTGAGAACCCCTCGTAAAATAAAAATAGGGATTCTTTTAGCTGGGACAAATCGAGCCCTTTGCCTTGCAATATTCCTGCCTCTGATCCTGCCCTTGTTTTTACTGGAACTGTGGATTGATGGCTCCCTCAGATGTCACGTTTTCATTTGTCTGACACGAGAGCGAAAATGGTATTTTAATTATTTCTGATTTTTACCTTTTTTTTTTTTCTCCTTCTTTTAACAGAGCATCCAGAAGCTGGCCAGTCAGTACTTAAAGAAGGACTGGCTCGGGATAAAAGCTGATGAACGAAGTGATTATAGGTAATTTACCAGTTGGATATCCCAATTTGTGGCATTATTTTACTTAACAATGAACCACCACTTGTCTGGGGTTAAAATGATTTTTTTTTTTTCCCTTTTTAGCAGAGCATTGCTTTGTTTTCCATTGAAATCCTGAGATCAGGCTGAAATAAATGCTTATATGACTTGAATGTTTAGGAAGATGGGAGAAACAAAACAGCACGAAAGGACAACAAAGTTGTAATTGTGCATCTGTTCAGGTGTCAGTGCTTGTGCCTGAATATTGATTTTAGCAAATAACCTTAAGGTTAGGGGAATAAATGTGGATTTCTTCAGAGGAAAAGGCAGGAACAGGTTTAAATTTAGGAGATTGGTTGTAAAAATCACATTTAACAGGAGGGAGGAGGCAAAGCAGGAGATGGTTGTTTACAAAACTTCCTCTGGTTCCCATGAGAGGTGGAAACCAGCCGTGACTCAGGTGCTGAAAGCCTTGGAGTAGCACCTCCTAAAGATGTGGGAGAGGTTTGCAGTTGCTTTATTTTAATGTCTTCTTTGTATTCTGACAAGTTTTAAGTTCAGCCAGGGAGAAATCGTTGAGAGATTTGTGTTTGGGCCTTTCAGCAGCCTCACACCGCTCGCGTGTCTGAGCGGAAATAAACTGAATTATGAGTTTAAAGAGTACATGAAACGCTCCCATAACACCCACCCACCTTTCCAGGTCCACCCACAGCGCCCAGAGGTCTTCTCCAAACCCCTCCCTCCCTATCTGGGAGCTCTGGAGGCTCCAGGAATCCTTCCTTCTGCCAACTCCAGAGGAGCTCCCATCACCTTCTTCCACCTCCACATCCTCCCGAGCTTTTGTGGTGGATTATTGGGGCCCTGATGGCCAGGTGTCCAAAATCACAAATTCCATGATCTTACCAAACATCACCAACATCTGGGTTCTGTAGGGTCTGTCCCATGGAAGCAACAGATTCAACCAGAAATGTTTGGCAAGAAGTGGAATCATGAAAGCGCAACAGGAGGGAAACTTCTTATTTTTGGGGCAACGTCAGTTAAATTTCTTGTGAAAAGTGGAGGTATTTGCTAGAGCAGCATAAAGGATTGTGCTTATATTTAGTTTTTAAAGCAAAATGCTGCTGTTGTGTAAACCAACCACAAGACTTGGTGACCCTTGTGGGTCCTTCCAGCTCCGGGAGATCCCGTGAGTCCGTATTCTCCTCCCTGAGCTCCCTTTCTTCCTTCCCACGCCCTGTCTGTGTTCCATTATTCCAGGAGCATGTATTCCGTGTGGAAATCCCTTTTGGAAGGCACCATGCAGGTGGCCCAGTCCCGGCTCAATATCTGTGAGAACTATAAGAACTTAATTTCAGAGCCAGCCAGGAGCGTCCGGTGCTTCAAGGAACAGCAGCTGAAAAAGGTATTTGTGCTCAAGAAATCCTTGAAATGGTGTCATTTTTATTTGAGAAAAACAGTTATGAGAAATCTTTTAGTATTTTAAATCCTAAAATAATGTATGTGCTTCTCAGTCTCTTGTAAAAATAAATATCCAGCTTGTTGGAGAGGGATCAACATGAGTTAATTTTAAGTATCCTGAGTTAAAACTACTTGGAAATGAGGGTTTTAAAAATGTGAGACATTTTTAAATGTTGGTCAAATAAATCTCTGCAAATCTCACGTTGTGCTGTGGAACTTATATTAAATTGGGTTTGCAGTGGCAATTCCAAGTGGGTTTTGTCAGGATAAATTCTGATTTTAAGCAAAGATGTGTCTCAAACCTGAAGGAACGACTTGAGCAATCTGAAAGGTGTGGGCATTGCACAGCCACCTCCTGTCGAGGGATCCCAGGGAAATATTCCAATTAAACTGTTCATCCCTGCAGAGGAAACAGTGTTCAAATAAGCTGAATATTCATTTAATTGCTTGTTGCATTTCAAAGCCATTTCTGAGGGTGGGGAGGCCTCGATTGCCCAGAGAACTGTGGCTGCCCCATCCCTGGAAGGATTTTTTTGAGGAAAAATTAACTTTATTAACTTTATTAACATTGTTTCCTTGTCCTGTGGAATTTTATTTTCCTGTCAAGTTTTCCAAACAGTGCTGGAGCAATTTCATAGCGTCTTAACTGGGTAAATAATCTTATTTTATTCTTCTGCAGGTGCTGTTAGTTCAGTGTTTCTGAGTCAGCAGTAAAAGTGGGACCTTTAAATTTACCTAAATCATAGAAGTTCCTTTTTTCCTGCACTTTTGAATCAGCAGAACAAGTTATTCCAATTGTCTGGTTCAAAGTATTCCACAATTTCCCTATTACATGGAATAACTATCCACTTGTTGGCATTAATTTCCCTCCACAAACAGTTTATTTTTTATACAATTCAGCCTTCGCTTTGAATTTCCAAACAGATAAATAATGGACAGATTAATAATTAATTAAACAATCGGTAATTATTAATTAATAACAATTAATAATAAATAATTAAATAATTAATAATTACCCTGATCTCCATCCAGACAAAAGCTTTTCCAAATTAATATTCCGAGTCAGTAAAACAATTGTGAGGTTACACTAAAATGACATCCAGTCTCCTGACAGTTTTTTTATTCCCCAGGGATGCAAAAGCCAGATTGTTTTACTCTCCTTAAACGATTTTAACAACTGGGGTTATTTGATATTTTAATTTTTGATGCCACCAGGAGACTTCAGGGATCCAGATACCCACTGATGTGGCAAAACCCCCTTCTCACAGGCTCTTAGGCCTCTGTCAGCTGAACAATATATACAGATTTTTCTACCCTTCATTTCTCAGTTGTGCACACAAAGGATTGATGAATTAATAATTACATGGATTAATAATTTTATGCATTAACAATTCCGTGCATTAATAATTAGTGTAATGAAGAAGATTAGCTGTTTGGGGGGGTGTTCACTAAGAGGACAACCTGACTTGTTGGAAAGCTCTCAACATCCTTATTTTTTAAAAAAAAGAGCTCTTCAAATAATATATATATTAATATAAAAATAATGTAATAATACTCTAAAATTAATTACACTATAAAATTAATAATCCTTGCCATTGTGTTTTATGTGGCAGCTTTTTTCTCATGTTTGAAATTTTATAGAAGGAAAGATTAATCAGGGGTTTCTTTATCACCTCCAGCAGGTTGCCTTTGGATTTTTCCCAGTTGTATCCCAATTATTTCAAGTAATTACCACATCCAAAGCTTTCAGAGCTTGAATTCATGGGTTATCACTGATTTTGAACACTTGAAACAGCAGCAGAAAGAAGGGAAGAAAGTGGGTTTATGTTCTGATCAGCTTGAAAAGAGGGGAATAATTGACTTGGAAACTGTTTTAATCCTGAAAAGTAGTAAAATACGGACGATGGTGTTATTTGGACAGCAAAAAAAATGGAATTTCTCTCTCCTGGCTGCTTTTTTTCAGTGCGTGGAGCAGCTGACAAGGATCCAAACTGAACTCCAGGAGACAGTGAAAGATTTAGCTAAAGGCAAAAAGAAATATTTTGAGACTGAACAGATGGCTCAGGCCGTGCGGGACAAAGCTGATATTGAGGCCAAGTATGTTTTCCTAATAACATATGTAGAAATAATTGCAGGTTTAAAAAGCCCAGTTCCATTAGTTTTTACACTTGAAATTTGCTTTTCAGTGAGCTTCCTGCCAGGTTTTTTTCCAGAGTAAATACAGGCAAAAATAGGGCTTGTTTTCTTTTCACAAAGAGAAATTGTAATTATAGATCATTTATTATATTCAGTATAAATCATTTGTGTATAATAATTTTATAGAGATATAAAAATATAATATATATTCTTTTGTATATTTATATATGTTCTTTTATATATTTATATATGTTCTTTTATAGATTTTATATATATTCTTTTATAGATTTTATATATATTTTTATAGATTTTATATATATTCCTTTATAGATTTATATATTCTTTCATAGATTTTATATATATTCCTTTATAGATTTATATATTCTTTCATAGATTTT